AGGGCGACAGTGTCCTGTCCTCTCCATCACCAGCCGAACAGTTCTGGCAGTAGGCTACAAACACACGCACACGCACACAGCACAGTGAGAGCAGCTGAAGGGTACACGAAGGGGATAGGATGGGAAGCCGAGGCCCCGTGTGTGCGCATGGGTGTCTGTATGTATGTGCGCATGTGGCTGCGTGTGTGTGGAGGGAGTGGGACTAATCTACACAGAGGTGAAGGGTTGTGCAAGTCCAACACACGCCACGAGCCTCTTTAGTGACAGGGTGATGGGAAGGGGAGGGAGGGAGAGAAGGAGTCAGCACAGTCCCTCTCTTGTGAGCCTCTGGTTGTGTTGTCTTCCAAGGCTGGGGGCCTGTGCGCCACAGTTCATCTGTCTCCACATGCCACCTCTCAGCAGGCCTCAGTAGCCAAACGTCTCCTGGGAAGCATAGACCATGTAGAGGAAGCCATCCTCATCCTTCTCCTGCTCGTAGATCTCCGAGATGGGGGTAGACACACTCACCATGCTGTGCTGGTTCACCAGCAGGAAGAAAGCCTGGGTGGGATTCAGCTGCAAGCGACGCCTGTGGGGGCAAAGGCAGGAGGGCCTGGGTCAACCCACCTGGGGTAGGCACTGTGACAGCAAGTTCTACCTCCCTCCAGCAATGCTGTTCACATGGGGCCAGACCTGCACGGCTAGGACCTCCTCCCACACGCTCGGGACGTGGTGTCTATGAGCCCAGCTGAGCTGCTTGGGGTTCCACAGCCTCCCGAGGCGGGACTCTGCAAAGCCCCTTTCTCCAAGCGCTGCTGGCAAGGGCAAAGAAGAGAGGCCTCTTCCATGTGAGCTGAAGGATAAAAGAAGGGGATTGGAGTCCCCCTCATCAGCTCATGGGGTGTCTCTATGAGGGAGAGGTCACAGTCCTTCACCAGATGCTAAGAACCTGCCCCCCCTCGACGCCCCCCAAACAGTCTGTACCACAACACAAGGATGCTGTGGCTGTCATGTCCCCATCCCCACCCTCAGCAGCTGCCTCTGCCTCATCCTCACCCCACCACACTCTGTTCAGGGCCTGTGGGTCAGGACAGGTTCATAGCATGCCAGCTGGGGCCACCCCACTCACCGGATTATTTTGACCAATTCACTCATGTTGACATGGTCTGGGACAAGGAACTTGGTCTTGTCCAGCACTGGCAGCTGTTTCTCCCCTTTATAGCGTTCAATGATGACCTGGGGAGAAAGTCAATGGGTAGGGTTAGCCACAGTGTACACTGCCCCAAGCACTGGCCTCAAGGTCAAACACAAATCAAACTAGCACAAGTGGAAAAGTTGAGCTAAGGCCCCAGTTTGCTTCACCCTCCCAGGAAAACAAAAAAAAGGATATGAGCAGTGACCATCAGGTTGGCTGCAGACAACTCTTCTGCAAAGAGTGATTTGTCTGCCTGAGACGGTGGAGAGCATCCAAGATAAGTGAACTAAAGCACCAATTGCTTTGGCTGGCTGAGAAACAGTAGGCATTAGTGGATTGATTTAGCTACCTCTCCCGACATGCAGGAGATCGGGAAGAGGAGTGAAGTGTATTCTAACATCACTTTCAGACTGACCGAAGCCACAGGTTTTGCTGGCTTGAGCTAAGGACTGAACTCATGGTGCACAGCAAGAGACATTTTCCTTCCCTTTGGTGCAACAACTCTGGGCTGCTGCCGTTCAGCATCACCCTGCTTGCTCAGGAAGAGCTGCGGATATTCCCAAAGAAGCCGTTTTTAGAAATCACTGCGAAGCCACCCAAGGCATTCCTTCAGAAAGGGAGAGTTTGGATTTCGCCAGTCCCACTCCTCATGTTAACACTCAGACACACTGACTCCAAAAAGGATCAGAAACCCATGGCCACTTCTCCCATGTGCCAGCGGGAGCTGGTGTGGTGAGCTTCCAGGGCACTTCAGCACGGTGCCACCCCGGGGACAGCCCAACCTGTCCTCCCCTGCAAGAGGTCTTGCTTGGGAAAGCTCTTACCACACCTACATTCTGAAATGGCTAAACAATGATTTCTGTTCAGTTTTCCTGCTATTATAATGAATGAATTTCTTCTGTTAAGGAGTGTCTGCTGACAGCTACAATCGCTATTCTAAACCAGCCTGGAAATGTACTATCTGTATTCTAAGAAACAAGATGGTAGGCAGTTAAAGTAAGTAATGATATTACTTACAAAGCTGAATATGTTCCCGTTACAGCGATACTCTGACTCTCACATCTCTCCAGTACCTAGTTGTTTTCTCCACAGAAAGACACTTGTACACAAATCAGTTCTCTCCGAGTTGAGACTGAACACTATTTTTCACTATAAGGCAAGGAGTTCCCATAAATCATTTTCCTATGCCTTTTCCAAAAATATACGGGAGACTGCAAATGCCTTTGGACAGTGGAGGGGTGGAACAGCATGCAGAGATCAGGATCCCCAGAAGATGGCTCTGTGGAGCCAAAAGGATCAGGTGAACCTTCGGGAACATCGATTTGCCTTTCCCTTAATCATTTGTTGACACACCAGCCTCTATCAGCAGCAGCAATAGAACTCCTGCTGCCTGTCCACACCAAAGCCAAATCAGATACTCTGGCTGGGATGCTGCGGTGTCACCAGTGAGCTGGGAGTGTCTGATGAGTTCCCCAGACTGGGGACAGTCTCAAGGGCTGCACACTCACAATAGCCACATACAACGATGCTGCTCCGGCCACTGGGAAACGCAGAGGCAACAGTGGGACCTCGAGTTTTTAACAGTAGTTTGCACAAAGGGGCAGCTACACAGCAACTGTTTGTGCATATACCTTTACATGCAGAGAGGGCTATGCCTCATTTCTCACTTATATCTAGCAGGAACAGAGGCAGACATCTCGAATTACCAGCCAATTCCATCCCACAAAGAAAAGCGTCTCAATTAGTCCAAGAATGGGCCGAGAAGGATGTCCTGGCTGTTAAAGCAGCAGCTGCCTTGTGCCCTGAGCAGACAGAGGGCCTGTCATGTAGAACAGCTCCAAGGGTTTCTGTTTCCAGAACATGAGCTGCTATTTGGGTAACCCAGCTATGGGAACAGGTGGCCAATGGACAAAACGTTCTTGTCTAGCTTTGGAGGGAAATGCATGATCAAATGCTAATATTACATCCCTGTGGCCAGAGGGCTTGTATACAAAGCCACATCCCCTCCCGTATCCTCTTCCAAGCTGCTACCTCAGGCCAGGGGGTTCCTCAGTGTAGGACACCTGCTCTTGTAGTGGGAACCCACCCCAGATCTCACTGCAGAACTAACACGAGCTGGGCACAGGTGGAAAGGCTTAGGGCAGAGCCTGGGGTCCTGGTCCCATTGCACAGGGGGCTTGGGCAGCATTTATAAACTCAACCTTTGTTCTGGGGCCAGTCTGAAGAGGTGGAAAGGGATTTTGGTAGGGAATGGAGCCAGATCTGGCAGCCCGACAGAGGCAAGCTGCCACCACTCCATGCCCCCAGGTCCAACCAGCAGCAAGGCTGAGAATGTATTCCCAGCAGGCACACACACACACACAAAGCGTATATGTAACACATACATACCTATATATGAAACACATCCATATTGTATTGCGTACCCAGCCACAGAGATCAACACAGACATGCAGAGCACTCACACAGAGACATCACCAACAGCCTCATCCTGTCCCCCTCCGGCTGAGCAGGGTGGAGGTCCTTTAGTGGGAATATATACAGTAACCCCCCTTGGTCCAAAAGGTTCTCTGGTGTTGATCCATCTTGAGTTGTGTCAGCCCTGGACACTGGGTCTGCAGCTCCCCGAACAATCCCTGCAGGAGCCCAGAGAAGGTTGTCCCTTCCTCCAAGTCCGTAATTTGGGTTCCTGTCTGCCATTGTGGCAGGGCAGGGCATTATTTGGGCCCCCTCACCTACCATTGCCTCTCCGTGCTCCTCTGTGGGTATGCAGATGAGCTTTTTATCACGTAACCTAAGAGAGACCCCTCTGCATGGCCCAAACACTCCCTTAGCCTTCCCTATCAGCATGAGAGGTGGCTGTCCCCTAAGCCACCCTCTGCAGCAGTGCAGCCTGTGACTCACTAGGCCTTGCTGAATTTAGCATAACAGTACTTTGGGAAATGGTTTGCTCCTGTTGCTGCCCAGCACAAGCTGTTCCCCAGTGATTTTAGACTCTCCGAGGCTCACCAGAGCTGGCTTAAAGCTTGCAGCTGCTCCTCAACAGGCCCCAGAAAGCAAGCCTGGGGCTGACAGCAGGGGAGGGCGATGGGCAGGCATAAGCTCGGTCTATCCTCTAACAGGGCAGAAGATGATTTCTGACGCATCTGCTGAGGCTGTGGATGGAGGTCCAGTGAGAAGGCAGGAAGCTCTCTGCTTGCTCTGACTGCCCGAGGAGGAGCCACCCCACAGCTGCCTGCAAGGGGCAGCTGGAGGCTCCTTCCCAGCAGAGCTAAGCGTGAGCAGCACCTCACTGCCAACACAACCATGCCCTTCTCAGCAAGAGCTGTGTGTTCCTGTGGTCAGCACTTTTTACCATGGAAGTGCAGCCAGCTTTGGGGAATGCAGAGACAGCAAAGGAGACCCTGGCATGAGGTGGATAGGGAAACACTGGGGAGCCCCTAGCTCCTGCCTGTCTCCTTATTACACGTGCCAGTGAGGCGTCCTGGGATGTGATTTCCCTTCAAACACAAGCAGAGAACTCCACACCTCAGGCAGAGTCCAGGTTATCTACTGCTTTGTCTCTGGTGGGCTCAGACAGACACACTACCAGCTCTCTCCCCACGCAGTGCCTCCAGGTGTATATGGCACAGCCCCTTCCTCAGCCTCCTCTGGAAGTACCCTCATGGAAACAGGAGAGAAATGCCTTTCCTTGGGCACAAAGCCAGGCCATGCACTCTGCAAATCCTCCTGGCCCTCTGTCAAAGCAAAAGGGGACTCATCCAAGGGCTCTGAGTGGAAACTGGAGATGCAAGAAGAGGGCAGCAGCTGCGGCACAGCTTGCTGTGATTTCTGCCAGCAATAAGGGTGTGACCTGGGCCATCTTCTCCCTAACTCCCCCTGGGCTGTGGGCTCAAACCCCTTTGCTAATTCCAAGTGCCTCTCCAGGGAAGCCAGTCACTTGGCAAACACAGCTCCTGCGTTTCACAGAAGACCAAGACGTTCCTACAGCCAGTCTGCCTGCACTGCACTGCTCAGACCCACAGCTATCCCCCACACCATGCTCTGTTTTGCAGTACAAGGCTTTGCTCACAGCCCTAGCACGGAAGGCTACATACAGTGACTTGCAGGAACTTTGCTATGTAAAAGAGAAGAGACAGCATCAAACTTGATGTCAGGGTCTAATCGGGACCAGGCCTTTAGAGATACCAATGACACAAACACAGCTGGACGCCCTAAGGCCTTCAACACCCTTCTCTCCTCCTGATCCTTTTTACTGCTCCAGCAAAACTTGCAGCTAAACGTATCCTCCCCTGTCATGTCAGTCAGCCCAGGAAAGCAAAGCAGCTGAGCGTTCAGCTGAGTCCCTCACCCTCGCACAATGCTGGCACTCAGGACACTATCAAGGACAGTAAGGCATGGAACAAAGAGGTCACTGGAGCAGGTGTGGGAGGGCTCAGGTCTCTGCCATGGCTAAACCTCCCCGCACACACACAACTCCCCAGACAACCACACCAGTGGCCAGGTCCTGATGATACAGAAGCCTTCTCCCAGGGCACATGGTGTTTGACCCCAACACAAAGAGCACTCCAGCCATGGAAGCTCTCCCACCACGTTTCAGTAATGCCGGTAAAATTCTGCATGTGGATGAAAAGCTCTGGCTCCTTCTGTTCATTTCCCAGGCAACACACATTTGCATATAGGTACCTGATACATGCATGTGTGTATATTTTATGTACAACTTATTTCTAGCCTGTCCTTACTGCTAGAGCCTTAAGGCATTGTAATTAGCTCTGCCACAACTCTGGAGAAATGCAGAGCCAGCCTAATGGCATGAAAACCATGTTAAAAGCAGTGGTCAATAAACGTGTAGATGATACGGCATACTGGTATTCAGTGTGCTGCAAGGGGCAAGTCCTGCTCTGCTGAGCTAACAACACGTGAACACCACAGTGGTGGTGGAAGAGAAGGAAGAGAAAGAATTCTTTTTGCTAGACGATGCTGTGCTAAAATCAAAAGAGTGAGGCAGAAATGTGCCAAAAGCAGTTTGAGACATTAAGCCTTGAAGGCTAAATACTGAGAGATCGTATGCAATTTTAAGACAAGGCTGATGTTCATCCAACACTGAGAGTGAAGTGATCTAGGAACACATCCCATTTTTTGGCCATACATGCCATGGTATTGCAAATACTAAATCAAGCAGGCCCCGAGTACGTTATTTCTCTAAGTTCTGCATCTTCTCAGGAAAAGAAGCAAATACTCATCTAGGATATCAAAAGCACACTCACAGCCAAAGAGCGAGACAGCATATTAGGTCTGACATGGGCAGGAAGAACTGGAGGCAATTCATGGGAGTCTCACCTATGCATGTCACCATCAGGTGCTGGGAAAGCACAGAATGGGTGTGACTGGCTGTGGTACGAATTATCCTAACAGAGTCTCTTTGCTTTCAATACAGCAAAGATTATCTCTGGACAGATGCAGAGAAATCCTTACCAGGTTATCCAGGAAAAGTCAGGTAGCTACTGCAACAACAACAAAAAAACAGGCGATTTCAGAGTTTTCTCCTGCTGCACTAGCTTGGAAGTAGATTTGAGATGAAATCAGTTCCTTGCCTCTAGGGCAGGCATGAAGCTTCAGAGAAAGACTGTATTTTGCACTGCTGAGAATGGAGTCTACTGTTGAGCAGCTGGCATGCGCAAGGCACTGGAGGCTTATGGAGAGCGTTCTGTGTTGATTCTGGGGAGCAAAGTTTTGTAACCTCCGTGGCTGGCTGGGGGAGGCTGTCCAGCAGCACAGATGGGTCATGAGAACAAAGTCTAATGCAGAACAGCGAGAATGATCACTTACCGGGATTTTGTTTGGATGCTGCTCTCGGATCTGCTGTACTTCTTTACAACGATCCGCTGGAAAGAAAGAAGTAGAGAAACGAAGTTAGAAACATCTGGCTGTACTAGTACAGACAAAAACGAGGTAACCAGGTAACGAGATTTGTGTGCAAGCCACAAACTGACAAAGAGGGACATTGCAAAAGAAATGTAAATTCTGTTCATCAGACCTTTTCTGAACATTTTGCAGCAGTGAGATGGTCAGCCAGGTGTCAGCTTCAGTGATCAACCCTTCACGGCTTCCTACCACTCCAATCATGCCCCAAGGCCAGGGACATGCTACCCTGTCCAGTAAAACTGGGCAACACACACGGAAACCAAATGACTTAAATGAGACCATAAAGATTACAAAAACGTATTCCTAAATCTACCTCAAGCAAATGCAGCTCACGACCATCAGTGCCAGGCAGCAGCAAAGCTTTAGGGTCTCAGCTCTGGAAGTTCAAGCTCTTTGTGTCTCCTGATGCTCTCCCAGAGATGATTCCCCAACTGGGGCTGGGTTTTAGCCTTTTCCTTTTGCCTGTTGCACACTTCCAAGCACTATCTGGCACAGTGCCTCAGTCCAAAAGAGATACACCTTGCCAAGGAGGACTCCTTCACTATCATAGATCTACATCGTAGCTACGACAGCTATTGGCCTGACAGAAAGTATTTCTAGACCTGTCGTGGAAACAGGAAAAAAAACTTTAGCAAGGAGATGACCGATGTACTAAAAGATTTTTTCTGCAGTTGTTCTCACACTTTCTAACCCATTTTCCTGCAGAGTTCATGTTTACTGACACACACACCAGGCAGCACATAAAAGTTTGTACACTCTTCAAGCTTACAGAAGAATTTCTATGCCCGCTCACTGCTTTACTAGAGGGCCCTCCACTTTCCACAATTCAAAGCAGCAGAAAGGAGGGGAAGAAGCCGTACCAGGGCCAGGTACGGCTCTGTGTGTGCTCTTTCTGGGACACCACAGACCTATGCTCCTCCTTGCATTACCATTACTCTGGGAGGTGCTTCACAGCCTACAACGGCCCATCTGAAGTGCCCAGGGGAAGCAGTTTCACGGATCACAGCAGATAAGCCAGGGGGTGAAGGCCAACAACTAAGAACTGCCTAGAAATGCAAGATCTGGGCATCGCAGGATCTGTCATGGGGTCATCCTGCCACACACACACAGTCGCTGGTGCAGTACCTGCTTCAAGCCCAACTCCCCTTAACCGCTTCACACAGCCCCAGTTTCTCATGACCCACCAGGATCATATAGGGCAGGATAAGTGCATGTGTTTGAGTGTGTTTTCTCCCCACAAACGTCGAGCATTTCTCCTCTAACCACTCAATAAAAACCTATTGCTTATAAATTGAATTTGGCTAGATACTACTTTGGGAAGAGATTGGAGTTTCTTTAGAGGCCCCAAGAGTACAAAATCACCAGATCACAGAAGCTTTTGAGCACCACTTCTGTCTCCTCCGAGAGGAAAATATCCCTCTGCTAGGAACTGCTAGACCTTTCTTCTGTAGGACTCCATGGGCTAGTAAGACAGAGCAAAATTATTTGGATTTAATGGAAAATTCGGGCATATTTGTTTTGGGTTTTATGACTGAAGATGTAATTCCTCATGTTTCCTTTTCACCCTATCCAATGCTCCAGGGCATCCAGAGTTACCCTTGTGATACAGACCATTTTTCCCTGAGGTCCCAATCAGCAAGGAGTTACGCAGAAGTCAGCATTGCACGTGATGCTGGTACAGCAATGCCTCTTCAGGGACGCTGAAGGACACAGTGACAAGAAGCACCCAGCACACAAGCACCCAACTTGAGCAGCCAGCCAGAAGCATGTGCCCCTCTTCTGCAGAGCTGCAGAGCTCCGCTCCCACGTGTTCATTGTGTACAAGCTTCTGCAGGACAGAGCATCTGAAAGGCTGGAGATCCAGAGCATGAGTGGACAACACTTATCAGCATAAGTACTTTAGGCAGCTTGACTGCAGTCAACTCAGACTTGCTGGGTATTAACAGAGCCTGCAGAAAGCTGTGTGTCCTCATGGCTGGCTAGTTTTTCCAGCTTCAGTATCCACCCTATCCCTGCATGTCTCTCCATACCTATGAGATGGCCATGTAGATGAACTTCCTAGACATCATGCATTTCCCTGTAGTGTCACAGAACTGTTTGCACAGGCAGCCCCAACAATGCAGGTAATTATGAGAAGGGTCTGAGAAGCAATTCGCCGAAGGCAAATTTGCAGCCTTTGCATGTTATCATGGCTAGTAATGTAGATAATCTCAGAGCATGCAACTAGTCTAGGCTGCATGCGCCAAAGGGCAGCCACATGCCTGATGCCCCTTCTTGCTCTCTGGAAGCATCACCAACTCCAGCACAAGGCTGGCAGCCATCACCACCTTCGCTTCCACAGAGGAGCCAGAGGTGCCCCCTCCCATCACACTGAAAAAGATGCCACACAGAGAATAAAACGGTACGTCATCTACCCAGCTACATGTCAGTGTCTCAGGATCGCACCCCTGAAACCACAGTCCTTTGTCCCCCGAGGGGTGCAGACTGCAGGTGCCTCGGACCGAGGCAGGCCAGGCTGCTGCTGCAGTACGTTTCTTCCAGGTCTTGCTGACTCCACGCTCAGCAGAAATTAAGGGCACAAGCCACCAGTGATAAAGCTCTCAGCTAGCCTCAAGTCTGATGTACCTTAGCGGCAGCTCCCCTGTCCCGCTCTTTAAGACCTGCCATGTGCCCAGGACATGATCCCTCTGGTCAGATGGGCCCAGGGCTTTTGCAGCCTTTCTAATCTCAGAGGACGCTGTGGGAGGTGGCTGATTTGCAGGTTACCACAATGCAACAACAGCAGGTGCTGCTTTGCTCCAGGGGCTGCTGGATCCCTTCAGCAGGTACGCGTGATTGCAACTACAAGCACCTAAAGCCCTGCACTTCTTCCTCTGCCCAGGAGATGCCCATTTCAGAAACTTCATTCAGGAAGGCAGTTGGCAGCAACCCTGCCTAAGGTGTTCAGGTGCCTGAAGATGCAGGCAGAAGTTTCCAGGACATCTGAAGCTCTGCTAAGGAGCACACGCAGTCCCATCCTAGCCTTGGAGATCCAATCAAGCAGGCTTGGGAATCAGGAGAAGCTACAGAATCATAGAATCATTAAGGTTGGAAAAGACCTCTAAGATCATCGAGTCCAACCATCAACTCAACACCACCATGACCACTAAACCATGTCCCTAAGCGCCTCATCTACATGTCTTTTAAATACCTCCAGGGATTTACCCTGCACAAGGGTAATTTCTGTGTGCACAGTAGTTCAGGCACTAGAGATCTCCTGCAAGAAATAGGTGATGGTCACCCACACCCTCCTCAGCCTGGAGTGGGAGCTAGAGGTTGATCCTGTGCCTCATGAAAGCATCTTCAACATCACACAGCAAGGAATGACTATAAATACCACCTTTAATTTAATGTATATGTAGTGTAATCTAAGTCACAGGATTAAAGAGAAAAGCGCTAAAGGGCACTTCAGAGAGGCACCGAGGGAGATGCCAGCTTAGCACCCAAGCTCACACCACATACGGCACTGCAGACGGTACGCTCCCTCCACCCGTTCACCAGCAGTGTCTGCACACTCACATTTCATACACGACAGGTCTGATTTTACAAGCCTTGTTCTTCTCCTGCAGCTCTCCCAAATTATAACTGTGCTAACGGAGGTTAAGACTTTCCCCTTTTCTGTAGCACCCAGCTATAGTTAATCCTCAGCTTACATATAAAGTGAACCAGAACTGTTTACACAACCCAGTCCGTATCTACATTTTTTTCTCCGGCCCCTCCTCGCTGCAAGGAGAAGCAAAACACCACACCCGATTTCAGCAGCTCAGGGACTCCAAGCAAGAGGGGGTGAAGGGGCTGCAGCCAGCTGCTGTTTTGAAGGAGCTGAGCAAAGATTAATGAACTGCGCGTAGAGGGAAAAGCACCGTCTCTGCTCCCAGCTGCGGGCACCGCACATGTGCCACAAGGGAAGCCGGGCTTCTCCCCACTGCCAGGATGCGAGAGCTCAAGGTGGCAGCAAGGTAAAAACCACACACTTCTCATTGGTTATTCCTAGCAAAATTTCACTGCGAGGGCCTATTGAAAGACAGGAGTATTTTTGTAGTATTGCATATGCCAGGAAAATCGTCTATTTCTTCTCCAACTGCTGTTTCAACTGTTAAGTACCAACAGCAAAGCTTGCAAATGGCCCAAAACACCATAATCTCAGCTGTTTTCTTGACTGAGGTCCTTCCCAAGCTGTTCTCCCAAAGATGTGGGCACACAACGTATCCCATGGCAATGCAGGATGAGATCGTTATGGCAGTTAAGGAGAACTGTAGAAAATTTTAAGCCAGGCTTTCCAAGCATTAACCTTTTTTATCAGCAGTGCCCAGGAACCCCGGCTATGGGAGACAGGTCTCTGCTGTGCTGGGCGCTGTGCAGACGCAGGACGAAAGGACATCTCTGGATGCAAAAGAGCTTAATCAGACAAAAGATACAGATGGTAGAACAGAAGGAAAACACATGGCAAATTCTCCGACAGTGCAGTTGCGTAAGGGACAGCATTTTTCAGAAGACACTAGACAAACACTGGTCAGGCACTGGTGCTGCCCCGGGGCAGCGGATGGACTCTACGACCAGCCCTGCTGCCTGTGACCAACAGGAACGCTGTTAAGAAAACACCGTTAAGAAAAAACACCACCTGGAAACATCATCAGCATGCTACCAGGTCAACAGCTCCTGAGCTGAGCAAGAGCTGCGTGTGGAAAGCAAAGCAGAGAGTAGAAATTCGGCCATGAGCTACTGCCTCTCCCTGTAGTCCCATGTCTCAGGGCTGCAGGTGCAGCTGCACATGGCACGAAGAGAGCGTACAGACATCCCTGCCACTTGCAGCAGGCTGCCAGCCCTGTGGCTTTCTCACTGCCATCCACAAGACACACTGCTAGCCAGCTTGAGGGTGCATCTGCCTCAGATGTGAAGCAGATGCAAAACCGAACATGTTTCTTCAAGAAGCTGCTGCCGTCAGTTCCAGGGCAGAGGGTTGCTAGAATGGGGTCCTCTTTCCAAGAGATTTTCTGCAAGGAGAGGAGGAATTGGATGGTTTGAAATCAGGGTATGTCTGGGATGAGCTGGCAACTGCTGAAGACACGGGCAAGTTATGCAGGTCATTCCTGATGAACATCAGTAAATATTTTTGTAATATCACACCACCCTAAGGCCAGACACCTCTAACCACCAGGAAATACACCCCCTTGTATGTGTCATGGCTCACACAACAGCTGACCTGACCTGTCCTTGCCCAATGCTGGAGAGCTCGTTCTCAGGCCAGTGGCACTGCAGGAGCCGCAAGAGTGGACTCCCACATCCAGGAAAGGAGGGCAGAGCTTGCGAGGCCAGCCGTGCCCTGGGAAAGCTGTCCTCACTACTAAGAAAGGGTTGCTGTCCCAGGCTACATAGGACAGCCGTGTTGCAAAAACTTGACCATGATTCTGATCGTTGGTCTTATTTTACTTCTGTCTCCAAAGCTGGGGGGCTCCGGACAGGATGAATGACTCGTGACCAAAACTACAGTGTTTTGAACTTACTGCCTGATAGAAAGTGTGTCTCTGCAGCATTGGTGTAGGTAGAGGCTGATGCTCCACTGGAAGGTATTACCAACATGAACGTGGAACAATTGATGATCTGTCTGCATTCACTGTCCATTTTGTTGTTACAGCTTCATTACAAGATGTGTAATGTCTGGAAGGATTTTTGAATGCCTAGCTCCTGGAGCCCTGTGTCTGCAGAAGGATCTCAGCACTCTTGTTCATTTGCATAAGTTCCCAATCTTCTGGCTCCAGAGTAGAGCTTGAAAATGGATTTTAAAGGACAAACAGGAACCGCCTTCATTTTTTTTAGCAGTTTCAAAATTAACTGAGTATGATTTTGAGCCTGGCTCCAGGAATGAGTATCTGTATCTGGCAAATCCAGGATAAGGGCTCAGCTCATGACCAAGCAGAGCCACACAACAACTGTGAAGTCTAAATTAATGTCAAGACACTTGTTGTCTGGTTGCACACTTGCACGGGCCACGCAGGATGAGCACTGGACCTCCATCATTCAAACAGCCTAAAACAGGGCTTCCAACTCACTACACCTCCTATGCATGAGAGGCAAATGGGCAATACCTTCTGTGCCACGTTTGGATGGCATACAGAGTACTTACATCAGAGTTCCAGATAAGGAACTGGTGTTTTTGCTCAACGTTTAATCACAGTTTCACTAGCCTTGGAAAAAGACAGCAAGTTCCCTCTGTATGAGCTGTTAGGATACTGTCCTCTGCAAGGGCTTCCCTCTAGCTTTTCTTTGACCTTTTCTTTCATCTTGATGAGCTTCAC